TTCAGTTTCAGTCCAGCTCTACCCTGAGCTTCATCTGTGACTGTGGGGAAATAACCTTGCCCCTTCCCAACTCAGGTTTGGGTCCTCTTGTTTTCCTGTCTCTCATGGAACAGTAATAACAACACTGTAACCCCACACCCCAAAGGATGAATGGTCATTTTCCATAAATGAAGAGTCCCCGAATGGGGGTAAGCTGCAGGCCCTCTGACAGCGAAGGGCACAAGGCAGTGAACAGAAACAGAACTGGAAGGACAGGGGCCGCCCCGTGGCAGGGTGGGTCTGCTCGGTACCAGTGGCCAGGGGTGAGGTCAAAGCAGAGAAGAGGAAGATGACATCCCTAGATCAGAACCAGGAGCCTCTTTGCTCACTTCCCAATTCTCCTCTGTGGTGTGTCCCCCTGTGACACTCCCCAGCATAATCCCCATCCAGATGATTCCATCCTGTTTTGAGTACTGGGTCAGAACATCTAAATTTTAGAAAATACCATCACCTTGTAAACAGTGAACACTCTTAGTCCCCCTGGAGCTGTTCACCCTCCTCCACACAGATGAGCACCTGACTTCCTGAGAAAACAGCTTTCGTCTCAATTCTAGGAGAAGGCAGGCCTGCCCCAACGCGCAGGATGGTTCGTTTTACTGGGGTGCCCCCTAGTGCCAGAAGACATCAGACTCACTTTCTATATTTGCCAGTAAGTGGACCACATGAAAGAAGCAAAATTTGGAGAAGCAAGGATTTTCCTAATTGTTCCTACATTTTCTTTGGCATAAAAGAGAATAAAGTGCATTCACTTAGGGCGATTCACGAGATTCCGAATGGATGGCCATTCTCAGCAACTTGCTGCTCCTGCCTAGAAAGCCTGCAGCCTCCTGCCTGCCCACCCTGTGCCTCTCACCTACGGACTTCTGCTCCTCCTTCCAACATCAGCAGAAGCATCCTCCACCCACAGTGTTCCTGGGTGGGTCCCTCCTCCCTCCTCTATTCTTCCTGTTGTCCCTTGAGTATGTCTCCAGATGTCTGACACTCTTGACCCCAACTTGAATCTTAACTATCCGGTCAAAGAGTTCAAAAACCTTCTCCGATGAGTTTGTCTCCAAAGCCTCAAACAGCACCTGGTGCAAGTGAACAGTTGGTGGGATGAGTGTGAGAAAAGGTACCTTAAATAATAATAGGAGGAACCTAGCACAGGAGTGAGGAGTTTGGGTTAATTAACTAGTTTAGTGATCATGAGCAATTCACCTACCCTCTCTGGGTTTCTGGGGTTTTTTGTTTGTTTCTGTTTGTTTGTTTTATCTGTAAATAGACTATGTCTAATACCTGCTCAAATAGCTAATGATTCTGTGCCTTTTCATTAATACCTCCCTTAGGAATCTCAAAATACTTTAAGATGAATCAGCTTACCACTTCTGGTTTTGTTTTTTGTTTTTTGTTTTTTTTTTTAATTCTCAAAGAGCTGCTTATGAAGAGCAAATTAAATTTACATTCAAAATTATTTCATTTACATGTCTGTCCTAAAAAAAAGGATTTCTAAAAAAAAATGTTAGATTACATGCAGCTATTTAAACTGAGCTAATCTGAGACACGGTTTTTAAGGGAAATTCTTCTTTCTCTTCTTAAATGATACAAAGAAAGGTGGAAGTTATAGCCTGAAACTTCATTAAGAAACTGTGAATTTTAATTCTGACTCTGACTGATTCAGAACTGTCTGACTTACGTTCAAGAACCTCTGCTTCTGTTTCTCCAGCAGAAACAAATGATAAGACTGCCAACCTTTGACAGTGGAATTTGCTAAGGAATTATAACTAAATGTACCTGCACTTGAAATGAACTTTGAAAAGTGGCAAATATTTGAAGAGGCAAGCTACATCATCCCTGGAACACTCAGACAAAATTTCCAAAGCTTCTCATAGGCCAGCTTTTTGTCTGCCCGGACCCCAGCTGAAGTTCCAGGTAAGACCAGAAGCCTGACCGTTAAGTGGCAGCCCCAGTGTGGTCGCCGACGTGTGCTTGTTTTGGTGACAGAGCATTCAGTTTTATAACTTGTGGGTCTTCCTCTAGGGCCTTCCCTTATTTCTTCTTTCTAAACCAGGTATTTAGCTAACTCAGAATAGACTATTTAGATAAGTACAGGGAATATAAATTAAGTGTAGAAAAGTGTGATTTTATTTTCCCCAGTCCCTTCCTAAGAGCTAGGAAATCTCTAAGCTCAGACACAAAAATCTGTTAATTCAGGCTTTGTATTTCTCAAATTCTCAGGCCCATTCTATGAATGTCATCAACATACCCAGGATATTGAGCTGACAGAGGTCTTACTGATCTTCCAGCCCTACTTCCTCTGCTACAGGTGAGAAGATCAAGGCCCCAAAAGGGAAGTGAGCTGTGAGGAGTGGGTAAGGCAAGAGGGATCTTTGTTCCGGCATCTCAAAAACAACAAGTTCTGCTTTTCATGTGTGTAATAAAATTTAACCCAGAGATGAGAAACAGATCGATAAATAAAGTTGATTGAAGGGGAGGGTGACTGCCAAGTGGAGTTAGAAGCTGTGTCTGTATTTCTACAGAGCCATGCATGTAGGCAATGATTTTCTAAGGCTAAAAATCAAATATAAGAAATCAGGGGGAAAGTACAATTGTTTTCCAAATATTTTTCTCCTGCAATTGAAGAAGAGATTCAGTTTAACTGGGTGAATGAGGAGCATTGCAGCCTCAGTTGGCCTCCAATACACACGGCACACCCCTGGAGCAGTGTGTCTCAGGAAAGAGAGGTGTGGTCTGCATCCCACCACCACCTACCCGGCTCCCAGCCAGAAGGCCAGACATCCATGTGGGGTTTTAAAAGGTTATCAGTCTGTAACACTTTTCTTAGGGCTACTCTACAACTCTCTCTCTCTCTCTCTCTCTCTCTCTCTCTCTCTCTCTCTCTCTCTCCCCCCCCCCCCCCCCCGCCCTTGCTGCTGCCACCAATACTATTCCAACAAGTTCCAGGCAAAACCCACACAACCTGTCTATGCTCTCCTCCCCATGCTGACGTATATGAGATTAAATGTAAGAACCCATGTGCTGTTCCAGGTCCTTTAACAGTTTTAAAAAAATAAAATAAAAATAAATCACATTAACTAAAACAGTCTAGCTAGAAAAATGGAAAAAGAAATTTAAGTCAATGTTACCTGAAGAATTTCAAATATCTGAGCGAAAAAAAAGGGTAAAAAAAAAATCTCTATCCAAAATATATATGGGATCCTGTTTCTTGAGCAAACCACTCATACCACCTACGTAGTTGCTTCCATTTCTACCCCAGAACTACGGGAGCTACTTCTCTCACAGAGCTGCTCACCTGAGACCCAGTGGCCTGGAAACCAGCTGTCAGTCTGCTTCCCAGTTCTGACCCAGAGCTGCTGAGTGGCTTGTAAAAAGGGCCTCCCTTCTTCTCAGGGTTCCCAGGGCGCTGACAGTTCCAGGTGGCCCCAGACCCAGCAGGCTAGACATGTGTGCTTCACCTTGATGTCCCCTGCCCAGAGCCCTGGTACAACTGGCCAGCCTTGCCTGGGCCACACGTTCTGTCTTCACCATGCCACAGAGTAAGGAAACGCACAGCTCTGCGGTGGTTTAAAAAGCACTCGGGGCTCCCAGACCTGGTGAATGCACTCAGCGGTTCTATTTTTAGCTACCCTGTTTGCTTTCTTCTCTGAAGAGCCCAATTCCGGTCTGTGTCTTGGGTGCCCTGCCATGGACACACTCTCTCCCCAAAGCACCTACTTTAATTTCACCCCGAGGGCTGTGCACAGAGGGAGAAGTGAATGTGGGGTGGGGGTGGGGGGAGAACAGGTGTGCTGGCTCTGTCACACCAGCCACAGTTCTAGAATTTGAAGTCACGAGCCCTCTCCGAGGTTCAGCAGTCATCAACTCACATGCTCCCACCAACCACTGAAAATCCCCGTTTCCTGTGGGCAGAGACAAGCCCGGGCATTTACTGGGACTGCTCGTCCTGCTTTAATGTGGCAGCCATTCTCTGACATGGCCATCAATATGCAGGTCCCTCACTGTCACATATGACTATAATGCACTAATAAGCCAAATAAATAAGAAAAGATTCCTATTGCCTGCCCTTCACCGGGAAGACTTTCACCACCCAAAGCAACTATCCAGGGAAATAAGAATTGTCAGACCAGCCCCAGAGAGGAAGCTGGGGAGACTCTAGGCTTCACACCTGCCATGAAGAACACTCTTAAAGACCTAATAATATTTGTATATCTGAATAAATAAGTAAGAAAAAAATGATGTGACCCAAGGGGAGCATGGAAGGAGAGTAAAGAGCGGGGGAAATGGAAGAAGGTGTCAAGTGAGGAGGATGCTGAGGACCCCCACTGCATGATGTGCTCCACCAAGTGGGAAAAGAGAAGCCATGTCTCTGCATAGCGTAGGTAGACGGGCAGAGACAGACTGGGAGGAACAACACTGGATCCAATCTTTGGGATGAATGTGTGGGCATACAGGCAAACACACATGCATGCATGCATTGCTGCCCTTAAAATGCAAGGTCAGCTGTTTGAAAGAACTTAATCTGGAAACCTTCAGCCTGTTTTAAAAAGCAAATCGTTTGAGTGCCTGCAGAATCTATGACTATGATAGAAAAGTAGAACTGGTCTCTTTCTTCTTTCTTTTTACATCAATTCCCTCATCAGACACATTTTTATCAGGATGGATAAACCAAGTGTGGAGATCAGTGACTCAGCTTCAAAGTGACAGCTCATGCAGGAAGACTAGGATCCTTGCCCTGCAGAGAAAGGAAAAAACCTAGAAGTGGTGCCTCTGCCCCATCTCCACTGTGCCCTAGCCCTGCCACCGCTAAAAGGAAGGAAGGAAGGAAAGGAGAGACGGGGGTGTCTGACCACACCTGACGACCACTTGGTGGTGAGGGGACACAACAGTTTTGGCATCAGTAACCGCTGCCACTGCAGCCGCCACCAGCAGAGCCCAAGGGGGAAACGCCAGGTGGTGCATCTTACCTGAGGAGCAGAGCGGTACAGGCAGATGAGGGTGAGGCACAGGAACAGCCCCAGCCCCTGGGCCACCAAGGCCACCAGCAAGAGCTTGTTCCTCTGGCATCTTGACCGGAGTGTGTTTCCTACACTCTCATCCAGGGGTTGAACCCCTTCCATCTCCACAATCTGGAAGCAGGGAGGATGCAGACGTGGCCCAGAGGAACTGGGGGAAGACGGGAACCTTCCCCACAAGGGAGGAGAAGAAGGCCACAGAAAGCTCTCACCCAGAAGGAGACCCCGGTCCCGGGGCCAGAGAGGAAAGGCGATTGAAAGAGCAGAGCGGACTCACTCAGTTTTAACTTTGCAACTTTGCAAGCAGGCGGGGGAACTTCTTTGTGACTAATCTGAATTTCCCCTCTACTTTCTTTCTTTTTTTTTTTTTTCCTCAGGGCTAACAGGGAGTTGTTTTTGTGGCATTCCAGTTCTGATTTGAGTGACTGTGAGATGACAGTCACAGAAGTGTGCTATTTTCTTAATTTCTCATTGCACTAGTTACCAATGTGTGGGTCACTTGATAAAGATCAAGATCATCGTCCGTTGATACAGGAGCTCACAGATCCCTTCCTCAAGGTGCCTTAAATCATATGAAAGACTCAAGGAAAATGTCAGGCTAAGATACTTCTCTCTATTATGTAACAGAACAAGGAGCCCATTTTAGGGATTCAGAGAAAAAGCACCCACAGAACATTCTTGAAATGAAAAAGACAACAAAGAAAATAGGAAGGTGGATCATATAGAAATAAAGGAGTAAAACCCTTCAGTTAAGTAGGCCAATACATTAAAATAAAGAAGTCAGTATTTATTAAGCATCTATGTGGTGTCATTTTTTTCTTACTATGTCCTTTCAGGCAAATTCAATAGACACAGTTAATTTTTTGCATACCAGAAAAGAAGCAGAAGCATATCCTGGGTTTTTTCCCTCCCTCCACTTTGTATTTCCCATATGTCATTTTTGCAGGAGGGAACAAAAGTATAGATTCAAATTACTCTTCAAGCTTATTTCATTTTTTTAGGCTATGGCTAGACTCAGAACTTGGAAAGTAAAAATATCCTAGCAATAGACTCCTCTTAGCCTTTATCGCTAAAATAAACAGTGAAATGAAATAAGCAGTAAAATTATGTCATATTGGTAAATATTTGCTGAGTATGTAATTTGGGCCCAATGCTGTACTGGACAACTCAGGGATATTGGGCAGGACCTATTTTAGACCAAATTCTGACTTCCTTCCATAGAAAAATATGTTCCTCTGAGCTCCCTATGGAGTATCCAGCAGATATTTATAGAAAGAAGGGAGAGAGTAATTTTTGGATATTGGAAATATGTTATATGTAACTGATTTTTACCAAAAATGGATATGAGGCATATTAAAAAGAGAGAAAGTTTGCAAGAAATTTAAAGTAGGGGCTGAGCTTGTGGCACAGTGGTAGAGCACTCACCTAGTATGTGCGAGGCCCTGGGTTCTATCCTCAGCAACACATAAAAATAAATACATAAAACAAAGATATTGGGTCCAACTATAACTAAAAAACAAATAATTTTTAAAAGAAATGCAAAGTAATTTATTGCAATATGAATCAATTAAAATGACTAAATACCTTCACTACAATAATCATACCTTGCATTTATTTGGAGAACATTTCAGTCTTCAGAAATTCAAGGTTTTAGCTGAAAGAGAGGTAACTAAGTCACTATATCAAGACGCCAGGTCCAAACTAGAAACCAACTTCCATCTAAGCTGCTTTGTAATAGTTATTCCATGAATAAAGTATGTGCAAAATACAGGGTACAAAGACCAAAGTCGAAAGGAAAATCAGTGTGCAAAGCCCACTTCTTGCATCATAGCTAAGTTACAAACAAGGATTAGAATCAGTAACTATTGACTCATTTATTTTTCAAAAAATGATTAAAACAACCGCCCCCCACAAAGCCTGAAATACCAATAGAAACTAGAGACCATATGCAAAAGAAGTAGTAAAAACTATTTGAGATGAAGGGCAGAGAAAATGTCTTCCAGTGACTGCCAAAATGATGAACCAACAAACAGTACAGGACCCAAAGCTGTGCCCCGCCCGAGCGGCCCTTCTCACTGTCACAATCGTCCCTTCTCAAAGAAGAACTGACAAATGCCATTTTTCTTTAGAGACAATAACAGCTGTGTTGCACAGTGAATTTCCTTCTCTCAAGAAAGCAGTCAACTGGAGCAACAGCTGGACCAGCGAAGCCAGGTGAGCCTCTCCACCGGGGCCTCTCCTGGTGGCTCACCTGGAGTGAGTGCTATTGAATATGTGATACTGTACATTTAGCTGCTTCTTTTTCTCCTCCTCCTCCTCCTCCTCCTCCTCCTCCTCCTCCTCCTCTTCTTTAATCATATTCTCTCCACTTTTTTACATTCTTGTGAGAAAGGAGAGAGAAAATACAAACATTTTAAAAACTAGAAACAGGGCTGGAAATTCCAGGAAAGACTCCAGAATTCATCGTGGAGCTGTTCTAGCATTTGAGCACACTCATGAAACCACCACCAGAGATATTGTTGATGGGTTTGAGTCTGGGGCAGATGGGCAGAGCCTTCTACCTTAAAAATGGTATTTTCTTTTCTTTATTTTTTTAAACAAAGTTGAAATTTAAAATAATAATAATAATGATTTAGTTGTAGATGGACACACTACCTTTATTTTATTTATTTATTGCTATGTGGTACTCAGGATCAAACCCAGTTCCTCACACATGCGAGGCAAGCGCTCTACCACTGAGCCACAACTCCAACCCCAGAGGCCAACTGTGTTACTGAATCTCTGGGCAAATATTTCAAAGCATCTCCAAGAGATCAAATACATATACCAGAACAAACTAGCCTTGGGATAAAGCCCCAGGAGGTCAAATAAGCCAAGTGATAATTTAATCATTGACTTTTTAAGGGAATAATAATTTCAAGCCTCTAAAAAAAGTATGGAAAATAAAATTATTTTTTAAAAAACAACTTTGACAACAGACAGAATACCACATGTTCAAAAGACAGCAAAAACTTTTTGGGGGGCTTTTTTGCTTTGGGGGATTTTGTCATTTTGCTTTTTCTTGTTTTGTTCTGTTTGATATTTGGGGGGTTTTTGTTTGTTTGTTGATTGGTTGGTAAAATCTGCACCAGGCGTCATTTGTCCACTGAACAAGACTAAGCCTGGTGCCCACATCCCAATGTTGGGGGGAAAGGTGTAAAGAAAACACATCCTCCATCCTTGAGGTCACAGACAGGAAGGCAGGATCCACAGCCCGGAAAGTGCTGAGTTCCAGGTGTCACCACAGGAGGGACAGGGCACAGGGGCAGGTGCTAGTCTAGACTAGAATTAAGGCAGGGCAGCTCCCTTGAGGTGAACCAGGTAAATCTTGGAAAAACCAGGCCCAGTCTGGGAGGGAGGGGTTGGGAGGGAGCGGGCAGGGGCAGGAGATGCAGTCTGGGCAAACCTTGCTGTGTACGGAGGCGTCAGGAACTGCAGATGGACAGAGAGCAGGATGTCAAGGAGAGCCGTGGCCCTGAGAAGCTGTCCTGAAGGGACTTTTGTTCTCAGTGAAGAACTTCGGACTTGATCTGAGGAGCTGGGGAAACACAGAAGGTTTGAAGTGGAGTCCAGTAGGATTGCATTTCCGAGGGGAAATCCTCTAAGTGCCATGGAAATGGCAGGGTTGGTTCCAGGCAGCCAGCTGGGAGAGACTCCCAGGGCTCTCCGTGCCAGCCGAGGGAATGAGCACCTAAAATCCCACCGCTGAGCCCTCCCAGCCCTTGGTCCCGCAGGAGAGGTGTCCCCTACAGGAAGCAGCACCTTTCTCTTCCCACAGGTGCGCTCTGCCTCCCAAGCCCTGAAGAAAAGGCTGCATCTTTGCAGGTGACCACGGCTTTCCTGATTCATAGGCCCGGAGGAGGCACTTTGCTCCAATTCACACAAAACCCCAGCATGAGCTAGGGCTGTCCTTGGGCTGGCAGTGAGTGAGAAATAATGAGGCTCTAAACGGCAGGGAGGGTGACGGGTGAAGACATGGACAGCGGCTTTTCATTCAGCCAACGTTCCTTTGGTCTTTGTGCCACCTCTGAGCATAACAGAGAGTTACGTCTTGGCTCTGCCATGGGACAGGTGAGGGGCTGATGTGGGAAGTCACAGAAACAAACACATTATCAAATGTCAGAAACCTCCTCTGCCCTCTGCCTCCTCAGTCTGCTCTTGATCTTAATGTCACTGTTCTGGTTAATGTTTTGCCACTCGGGGGCCTCGGAACCCCAGAATCCACCTGACTTTTCTCTGCCCCCAGTCAGTGGCGTTTTGAAGAGCCAGCCCTGGGATGCAGCCACGCTTTCCTCCTCTTTGTCATCCCTACTGCCTCTCCTCCGAGTTCTTATTACTCCTCACTTGACTCTCAAATGAAGCTGCCCACCATTCCCCCAGCATGGTCCTCCCTGGTCTCCAATCCATTCTGCTTGGGCAGGCTTCTTCCACTTATGAGGTCATGGTCCTGTCAAGGGCTTCCATCACACAAGGGGCAACGTGGAGACTCCCGAGCGTCACACTTTGATCACTCCATGATGAAGCCCCAGGTGTCCCCTCCCAACTCATCTCCTTCCATTCCGGCTTCTTTCTGCTACTAATGCAGCCACAGACACCCTTACCCTCTCTCTCTGCCCACCAGATCCCTTCAACCCATGCTCTTCTCCATGAAGGGCTGCCTGTGAGCTAGTGAGTTTGCACAAGAACACCATCAGGTGACTCTGCCTTTGGGTACACGGTTGATGGCATCATGGTTCCCAAAGTCTAGTTCATCTTCAGATCACTCTGAAGGCTTTGGAAAGATTCACATTCCTAATCCCTCCACTCTAGACAATCTAATTCTTTAGGTTTGAAGTGGGGTCTTGGAAGCTGTATTTCTAAAAGATTCCATTAAGAACCAAATTTGTGAATCTCCCCAAGTGACCACTGAAGGTCTCCCTCATTGCTACACTTCTATGATGGGAAGCCTTCCCAGGGCCAGAGAAGAAGGACTGTTGTCACCCAAGTTGAAAACATTTGTTAAACTAAGTTTCATCTTTTATAACTCTTTGAATCTATTTCAGACTCCCACTGGGTGCTGTATGGTT